GGAAGGTCCTTGAGCTTTCTAAATCCCACAGGGATCAACGAACGCTTTTCATTCCACTAATTTATTCGTGTTTTTCTCGTTGCCATGTTCCCACCAATAACATAGCTCCATTTTCTGCCTTTAAAAGCACACACAACCCACAATTCCTCTATTTGCTCCAACGAAGGGCTAACGCTCGAAACGTCAGCTTTTGTAATTGTTACGGTGGCCAATTTACCATTTCAACTTTATTGATATATCCAAATTATTACAGTAATTGTGATCTTGAATATGGTTTGTTGATTTTAGGGATGTTACCCCAACTGTGAGGCATGAAGACTTTCGCCTGTTTGCCTGCATGAATCCAGCCACTGATGTAGGGAAGAAAGATCTGCCCTCAGGAATCAGGAACAGGTTTGTGACTAGGGAGACATGAAAATAATTGATTTTCATTGAGATGCTCATGTTAATGATTAAGTATAATTATATTTTTAGTTATGTTTAACTTATCATCTTTCAATTAGCTAGGAATTTTTAATTGAATACACTGATTGATACATCCTTCACATCTTTTGAATAGATTACTCCATGTCCTGGATGTATCTGTTATCCTTGCAGATTCTGTCAGTTATATATGTTTGCTTTTATTACTTTTCAAGGTTCACAGAAATCTTTGTCAGTGAATTAGAGAGTACAGCAGACCTTAAAACCATGGTTGTGGATTACTTGCAAGGATTGTCACCCAATTCAGCTATTGTGGATGGAATTGTTAGGTTAGTATGTTAGATTTTGGTTAAGCACAGTGATAGTTGGGTAGAGCTGTTTCCATATTTTTTTGACTGATGCTATCCATCACTTTTGTCAGGTTTTACCTCACAGTCAAGCATGAGGCAGATGACAAGTTGACTGATGGCACAGGACATAAGCCTCATTACAGGTCACTATCAATCCAGTTTTTTTATCAGTAAACTCCAAGTTAAGCTCTTGCCATGTGTTTCATGTTAAATCTTTTGGATCAATGTACCTGCCTACCTACCCCTGCCCTAACCCAATGAGGAGCAGCTAATAATAAGTTAAGGTTAATATTGGGTTAGGGAAGGGGTGGGTGTGCAGTTGCTCAGCACTTGCTATGTGTTTTGTGTAGAATCTTTTGGATCAATGTACCTGCCTGCCTACCCCTCCCCTAACACAATGAGGAGCAACTAATAATAAGTTAAGGTTAATATTGGGTTAGGGAAGGGGTGGATGTGCAGTTGCTCAGCACTTGCTATGTGTTTTGTGTAGAATCTTTTGGATCAATGTATCTGCCTACCTACCCCTCCCCTAATCCAATAAGGAT